AACTTCCTAGTGATAGATTGCCCTTCTGCCTACAACATGATCCTAGGGCGGACCAACTCTCAACACCCTAAGAGCTGTGCCTTCCACCTTACCATCTTATCTCTCGATTCCCAACTTCGAACGAGTCGAGTCGCGAGAGATCCGAGGAGATCAAGTAGGTGCAACAGAGTGCTACGTCTCCTCAATGAAGACCAGAAAAACCACAAGAAGCATTGCAAGTGGAGGTCCTTAACCCGCGACGATGATGCCAAGTTGGAAAGAGAGAGAACCAGTAGAAGAACTTAGATCAGTGATCCTAGATGAGGAATATCCAGACCGAAAGGTATATATCGGCTCTTCCCTTTCTAAGGATTTGGTCCACCAGCTAATGGACTTTCTAAGGCTCAACATGGACATCTTTGCCATGGTCACATTCAGACCTCGAGGGTATTGACCCTTAGGTCGCCACACATCGCCTTAATGTTGACCCTCACCACAAGTTTGTTCGCCAAAAGCTAAAGGGTGCCTCCATTGAAAGGGCCCAAGCGATGGAAAAAGAGGTGGGAAAGTTGATAGAGAACGGAGCAATCAGAGAAGTAGCCTATCCTGAGTGGCTCTCAAATGTGGTGATGGTGACTAAAGCTAATGGGAAATGGCATCTCTTTGTCGACTTTACTGAGCTCAACAAGGCGTGCCAAAAAACAGCTACCCATTACCACGAATTGATCTCCTCATTGACGCCACCGCGTAACATGAGTTGCTCATATTCTTGAATGCATATTCTGGGTATAACCAGATTAGCATGAACCCCCCAGACTAGAAAAAGACATCATTCATTACACTAAAGGGGACCTACTGCTATAGGGTCATGCCCTTCGGGTTAAAGAATGTTGGAGCGACTTATCAACGGTTGGTAAACAAGATGTTCCAGTTACAGATCGAAAAAACAATGGAGGTATATGTGGACGACATGCTAGTGAAGCGTCTCGCCGCGATAGACCACATTGACCACCTCCAGGAAACCTTCAATGTTCTCAGATCGTATGGCATGAAGCTGAACCCCAAGAAGTGCGCTTTTGGCGTTGGATTGGGAAAGTTCTTGAGCTTTATAGTCAACCAAAGGGAATTGAGGCAAACCCCAACAAAATCAAGGTCATTCTCGACATAAAAGCCCCTTCCTCGACCAAGGAGCTCCAGCGCCTCAATGGGAGAATTGCAGCACTAAATACATTCGTCTCCAAGTCTGCAGACAAATACATACCTTTTTCAAAATTCTCCAAAAAGCATTTGAGTGGGTACCTAAGGCAGAGGAAGCCTTCCAAAAGCTTAAGGTCTACCTGGCTACACCTCCTCTCCTCTCACATGCTGCACCGGGCGAGACATTATATTGTACCTTTCTGCTTCCGCATTGGCAGTGAGCTCCATCCTCATCAGAAACCACGATGAAGTACAAAAGCCCATCTATTATGTGAGCAGAACCTATCGAGGAGCAGAAATCAGGTATTCAAGACTAGAGAAGCTAGCACTCGCCCTCATCACAACAGCTAGGCGTTTACGACATTATTTTCAAAGTCACACCGTTGTCGTGATCACACATCAGCCTCTAAAGAGAGTCTTGAAAAAACCGGATGTATTTGGGAGACTCCTCAAGTGGGCAGTGGAACTTGGGGAGTTCGACATTCAATACCAACCAAGGGCGGCCATCAAAGCACAAGCATTAGCAAATTTTATTGTTGAGCTTACACAGCAGAAGAGGAGAATAATGAGGCATCCAGACCAAGCACCCAAGACAGGGCAGGCATCCAGGCTTGGCGCCCAGGCCCCTCCTAGAGACCAGATCTCCTCTCCAGGTGCCCTGCTCTCCTCCTTCCTTAGGCGCCCAGATCTCCTCTCCAGGCACCCAGCTCTCCACCTCAGGTGTTCCCAGGGGCTCAGTCTAGCGTCCAGACTCCTAGTGTAATCTCCGAGCCCTCCTCTCTACCACTCTGGAAGCTCTATGTAGATGGCTCCTCGACCACCAAAGAAGGAGGAACAGGCCTAGTCTTGATCAGCCCAGACGGTACTCCCCTTAAGTATGCAGTGAAGCTCCACTTTACAGCTTCCAATAATGAGGCCGAGTACGAAGCCCTCCTCTCTGGATTAAGATTGGCGGCTGAAATGGAAGCCCACCACCTCACCACCTACAGTGACTGTCAACTGATCGTTAATCAAGTAAAGAGCGAGTTCAAAGCAAAAGGAACCAGAATGCAGGAATGCCTCAGCATGATGAAAAGCTTGATCACAAAGTTCCAATACTTCCAGATCTGTCACATCCCAAGGGAAGACAACATAGCCCCTGATGCACTTGTCAGGCTCGCCTCATCCTTGGAAGCCCCACTAGGAGAACCAGCATTCATTGGTCACCAGTTCGAACCATGCAAGTTAGATATGGAAGCTATAAACATCAACTATGCATTGACTAAGTCAAATTGGATGACCCCGATAAGAACGTACCTCCAGGAAGGTGTGTTTGCCAGAGGACCCACTAGAAGCCAGGAAGCTCAGAATGAGAGCCTCCAAGTTTACTGTCCTACAAGACACCCTGTACAAGAAAGGTTACTCCTTACCATTGCTGCGATGCCTCTCCCCTGAAGAAGCTGACTATGTCATGCGGGAGATCCATGAAGGAGTTTGTGAAAATCACTCTGGAGGGCGCTCCCTCGCCCACAAGGCACTTAGACAAGGCTACTTCTGGCCTAGCATGATGAGGGACGCCCAGAAATTCGTCAAAAAGTGCGACAAGTGTCAGCGCTTCGCCACTGTGCCCAAACAGTCACCAGAGGAACTCACAGTCATCACAAGTCCATGGCCCTTCTCCAAATAGGGCATCGACATCCTGGGCCCCCTACCTCTCAATAGAGGACAGTGCAAGTTCATGGTGGTAACAGTAGACTACTTCACTAAATGGGCAGAGGCAGAACCCCTAGCAAAGATAACAGACGCAAAGGTGAAAGATTTCATTTGAAAAAATTTGGTCTGTCGTTTCGGGATACCCCACGCCATCGTCAGCGACAACGCTAAATAGTTTGATAACAAGCTCCTGAACTCCTTCTTCTCTAACCTTCAAATAAAGCAGCCTCATTCAAGCCCCACGCACCCGCAGGCGAACAAACAAGCGGAAGTTATGGTGACAACGGTGCTACGCAACCTAAAGATCAGGCTTGAAAAGGCGAAGGGTCTTTGAGTTGACGAGCTCCCATGTGTTTTATGGGCCTACCGCACCACACCAAGAGCTCCAACTAGAGAAACTCCATTCTCCCTTGCTTTTGGAACTGAGGCAGTCATCCCCGTGAAAATCGGGGTACACTCTCTAAAAGTCCAACACCACGATCCCGTCACAAATGAGGAAGGACTCCGCATCAACCTCGACTTGGTAGAGGAGGCAAGGGAGATGGCTGTGGTCCGTAATGTGGAGTACAAGCGTCGCATGGTAAAATACTACAACTCGAGGGTAAAGCCTCGTTCTTTCCAACCAGGAGACTGGGTCCTCAAGAAAATGATACTCGCCACAAAGGATTCACGCGAAGGAAAGTTGGAACCAAATTGAGAAAGACCATACCTCATAACAGAAGTGGTGAGGCCAGGCACTTACAAGATCCAGAATTCTGAGGGGAAAGTTTTACCCCATCCATGGAACGCGGAGCACTTGAAGAGGTACTACCAAAGGCACCTTGACAGAGTAGAAAAGTTGGGGACTTGGTTTTATTTTTTACTCTTTTGTGGGGCTATTACCCGATATTACTTTATATGAGCAGAAAAACGAATAAAATGATCCTAGCATCCTTGGGCAAAAGGACTCCCAAGTCCTTGTTAGGATGATCCCTCACAGCCTGCAATTTCCACTCTTGGTCTTTGGAGAGACCAGGAGGATTTGCAAGAGGAATGATAAGTTAAAAAAAAAAAAAGAGCAAAAGAGAGAAAGCAAATATGTGACATACCAAGTTTCTTAGGGACACCCCATCCTCTCGGTACCAAAGTCTGATCGGCCTCTGCAGCCCACTCTCCGCCGACAAATATAAAGCGAGATTTTCAACTATGACAGTTAGACCGCAGACCGGTAATTAACTTGTCTCTCGTGGTGAAGTAATACCAACCCCGATTGGGAGCGAGGGTCTTACTTAAAGTATAAGCTCCATGAAACTCCTCAGGAGAGGCATCCTCATGGTGCACTTTCCTCCACAATACAAGAAAACCCAACAAGACTCTCCAACCATTGGGTGACAATCGCCCCGGGGTGAGGGAAAAATAATGAAGAATATTGCAAATAAAAGGAGATATAGGGAACCTAAGCCCAGCCTCCAGCATTTCCTCATAGATGACAATGTCACCAAAGGAATCATCAGAGGCAGGCTCACCCATCTCGGCTCGACGGCACAGCACAGTCGGAGGAATGTGATAGGCGAAGACAATTCGCAAAATATTGGCATCCGTATAAAGTGCTAGAAATGCTATTTACCTTGGACCCATCATCAGCTATTTTGCTTTGTTGTTTTTTCTTGCGAGAGCGCAAAGTGTGGTCGGTGCCATTCCGAGGGAGGCCTTGAGAAGTCGGGGCGCCCAAGGCAGCCTCAGGCTCACCCAAAGAACCCCCATGCTCGCCCAACGCCTAAACGGCACGCCCAGCTATCCCGCGCGTGGAAGCAGCGCCCAAGGGCTCCTCCTCCCTCTCTTTTCCTTCGCCTAATGGGTTGCCCAGCACACCAAATGCTAGAACATTCCTCTGCCCACACCTTTGCCCTATCACGCGGACATTGTGCTCACCCAGACCGCTCAGTGTAGCGCCTAAATGGCTGTCCAGTCCAGTGCCTAAAGTGGCGCTCAGATTTCTGTTCGAATCAGCGCCCAAAGCACCCAACTCTTTATCCTACTCGCCTGCCACGTGAGTTGCATGCCCCTCTGCACGACCAGCAAAGGCGCCTAGCACCTGGACAGCAGCGACGCCCAGTGCCTGCTCGCCCAGAGATTGGATAACAGCGGCGCCCAGTGCCTGGGCAACAGCGACGCCCAGCTCCTACTGGCCCAGCGCCTGGGCAGCAGCGACGCCTAGTGCCTGCTCGCCCGACGCAGTGGGCTCCCTCGTTCTCTCCTTCATCCCACCTTGCTCGCCCAGCACATGAGTTGCTCTCCCATCATGAACCATAACAACTTGCTCCTCCACCATAGCCGCCCTCACATCGGATAGCATCATGGACGCGCGAGCAGCGACGACGGACGTCCCAAGCATCTCCACGCCGACGTCTACCTCATCCTCCATCTCTCCTTGGATCACTGCAACAACCCCATGATTACTTCCTTCATTCGCCATGGATTCCTAACACAATTCCTTGAAGGAGTCTTGGAAATAAAAGCCCTTTTTTCACTTTCTCAAGTTTCAATGGAATGAGTAAAGTGGAGAGAGCTACTATTTATACCTAGGGTTTTTTGAAAACAAGGAAAAGGCAAAAAGACCCAATCAACACCAAGGGCTTTTTTAGCATTCAAAAGGGGGAATAAAAGGAAGAGTTTATGTAGCTGGAGGCGTCAAACAATGCTAAAATATATATCAGATAAGAAGGAGGAGCCTTGGTATGTAATTCAAAAAACCGTTTTAAGGTCCAGGGGCGCTGCCCCCGAGAGCCCGCCACCTGACCGGGCAGGTCGATCTCCGCTGTCATAGTGCAACATAGACGTAGCGGGTGAGGAGTATTCTTGGGTCAGAATTCAAATTCAGTTGAATGCCCACTTCTCCAAATTTCATTGGACATGGGGTATTGGGGGGCAAATGATAGGTCAAGTTCAAATGGCCCAATCCATGGGAAAAAGCTCAAGCTTATAGAAGACCAAGCAAGCCCAATAAGGTCCAAGACGGTTAAGCCTATCAGAGAGCTATGGGAATATTCAGGAGCTATACCCTTGCCCGTTGAGGAAAAGAAGAGGTCGCCAGGAAGAGGAGAGGTTGTCGGGGAGAAGAGAGGTCATCAGCTATTAAGTTGTCTCCGGTCCGTTATAACCGTCAAGCTACTCAATTACTACGCAGGCTTCTATAAATTGTAAGCTCTCCCAACACTTGGGGGGCATCTCAACAAAATCAAGCTCATCTCCCTCTCTCTTGTAATTCTTGCTCTCCCAACGCATCGGAGTCAATAAAATTCCCGGCCAACCTAGCCATTGAAAGTGGACGTAGGTCTCATTGACCGAACCACTATAAACCTTATTTTCTCTCTCCATCTACTTACTGCATTTTATATTGCTTAATTGACTGGTGATGTGCAAATCAATTTTGTGCATCATCAGTACTGATGTTGATTTCTAATCATATATAGTAAAACTGCTTGAAACATGAATTCCCACTCCAGGAGTGAGATCCACGACCACCAATTACACTTGTGATAGAAATCAACTGACTGGCCACTGATTAACTATTTTACCATGTAGATTTCCATTGTAAAAAAAAAAATTAATGGTCGAAGGGCCGTAGAAATCACAGGCATAAACAAACACTGAAATACAGCTTATCCATCTAAAACCAGCAACAAAATCTATCATCAAGTCTTTGGGGCCCAGCATGGGGGATTATGTTTCCCTAAATTATGACGATATCATTCGCTTGTGTGATTTACCCAAATTATGGCAATATTGTAATGACAAACCACAACGATCTCAATCTTCTCGAGTTCAAAAAATAATTAATCTAGAAACAATGTGCAACATTTTCAAACTGGTTAACATCTGGGCTTTAAAAAATAGAAGCGAAGCCTTGTGTGCTGCAATACATTGTACAAACGAACAAATGCCTTCATTATAGAAACTTATAAAGAAAAATAATACCTATATATCTATTGACTTAAAATCCGTGTCTCTGGCTATTCTAGGTGTCAATTGCATTCAAAGATGCAATGTATGACACTCTATAACCATTTCAAAACATTATGTGCAAAGCACACCATCAAAACAAGCGCTTCTCATTTTCATGCTCAAACAACTCAAAGTGAACAAAGAAGTAGAAAAAGGCAAGATAGGGAAGTGAAATTAACCAAATTCAACTGGCAGAGCAAGTAAGAGACAACCCAAGGTCCAGAATCTAAACCCAAACACCACCTCAGAAGTGCATGAGCAAAGGTTTGAGTACAAGTAATGTACTTCTTTTATCCACTCTAAAAACCCCCTCTGTAATTCCTAAAACACAAGCAATTAAACTTAAAAACAATGAATTCACTACAATTCTCAACAAAACTAATATTTTGTTCTAAGTAGGCACGACAAAGGAGCTCCCAGGAAATGGGGAAAAAATGGCACATCATACAAACTAATTTCCGAAAATGGCATAACATGTAAACCAACTTGGAAACATTCTGAAAAAACAACAGGGGCGAGTGAAGAAATGTACCATGGCGCACGGAAATTCAAGGGAACATCAAGAAATAGGTCAAAGGAATTATTTTCTGAGGAAGAGATCATGACGACGGTGTGGAATTGAAGAGGCGACCAAGAACAAAGGAAATGGTAAAGTTGACGTTGAACAACACATTTAAGGCTCTGATCGGAAGGGAGTATAATTGTATCCCACCGATAACTGAACTTTTCGAGGCACAAAGAGCAGTTACGATGAGGACGTCCTTTCAGCTGCAGAAACCCTGCTCAACCCCGCGATGAAGAGAGAGCAGAGACGGCCGAGTGTGGATCGGTCACGCTCGAAATCCTACGCGCGCGGGCAGCATTTGTCGTTTCTTTTGTGTCTGGGTTTTTTTATGGAACGATTTACTACTTTGGCGGTGATAGTTGACAGAAAAAAATTGCAGGGTCCAAGTCTAACCAGCAACATTAGGCAATGGTACATACCGAAAAAAAAATATTAGGCAATGGTAAGTGGATTTAAGATAGTCACAAAAATTAAATTTGATAATTATTTTATTGAGGGTTTTAATATTTATTAGGATCATTACTTATTCAATAATTAAAATTATTAAGTCTAATTTTTATGTCCATATAATTTTACTCTTTGGGTAGACCATTACCATCTCCAATCTTTTACTTTTTTAAATCTAAACATAAGTTTAGGTTAAAAAAAATTAAAAATCTTATCCAGTGTTAAGCTTATACCCATATCAAATTAAGAAAAAATTCCTTTTTTTACTCATATTAAGGAAGATTTAAATTTATACTCAAATTTTTAATTGTAAGATTTCATTCTCCTTTAAACATGTGATAATCATATTTTACCTTCTTTTAAATTTAAGTTTATCCTCATTTAAATTTGAATTTTCTCTTCGTTTAAATTTGAGTTCCTCTATCAGAAAGATCTATATCAAATTAAGTTTTTAACTTTCTTTTTTTAGATTTTCATTGGAGATGATCTAGACGATCGGATATTTAAACCCAAACTTTTACTTAAATTTGAGTAAAAAAAAAAGAGTACAAAAATTAATTTAGTATAGATCTCTCCAATAGAAAAATTCAAATTTAAATGAATATAAATCTAAATTTAAAAGACGATAAAATATGATTATTGAATATTTAAAGGAGGTAAAATCTCACTATTAAAAATTTGGGTATAGATTTAAGTCTCATTTGATTTGAGTAAAAAATTAAGTCTCTCTTGATTTGATATGGATTTGGATATAGGATTATAGAATAATTTCAGGAATTTTTTTATCCAAATTTAAATTTGAGTTTAAAAATAAATAAGGATTGAAAATGCTGTTACCATTTTAATTTTGGAAATGTTGTAAATGCAAGAGTGTGCACGCATGGATAGTATTAATTTTGTAATGTAACTAAAAAGGTAAAATTATTCTGCATAGAGTTATGAATAGTATTCCCACCTTTTTCTTTTATTAAAAGATTTATTTCATAACATCAAGCAATAATGAAATCTAAATAAAGCAATCAAAAGAAGCTTTAAAGTTCTAAAAAAGTAGTTTTAATTAATAAGCTAAAGAGTTCATAATAGGTAAAGTCCAAGGAAAGAAAGCTAACCTTGAATCTTATCATTAAGGCTTTGAAGACCTAACGTGGATGAGCTACAAGAGAAGGAAATAAGAGTTATATTATTCTCTAAAATTTTATCTATTTAGTCTGTGTTATTTATTTTATGCTCAATTAATTTAATAATTTTATAACAGCACGAAAATTAGTCAACTGAGTTATTGTCGAGTAATTTTTTATATCCAAAAGGTAAACTCATGTATATAAATTTTTCAGTTTTAATGTAACACCATACATATTATAAAAAAATATGATGCGGGTGTTTTGATTTTTAAATTGTCATTATATTTGAATTAATACTTTTTTTTTTATCATATTTGAATTAATACTTGAAACACGTGCCTAAAACACACAAATTATGAAATTTAATATAAATTATGTTCTTGAAGAACATGATAGAAAAATCTAATATCTAAAGTACAAATAAATTTTATTATACTTAAAAAGGGCATACTTCAAGTTTATAAATTATTGTGGTACTAGAAGATCACAATTTAATTTGTAGAGCCTAAAGGTCATAAAATATTAAATGCATAAATTTGATGCTTGTAACATTTTTTTCTCATTATATTCATGCATATTTAATTATTTATTTTTTGTCATATTTGTTCAAACCTTTGGGCATATCTAAGATAGTTAATCCCACCTTAAAAAAGTGTTGGTAAATATGCTATCTATCAAAAATATTGAAAGAATCGATCCATAGGGATCCATCCCATAATTGCAGAATTGAAGAGCTGCCTAATATAATCAATGGTTAATTATACAAGAGATCCCTAAAGTATGATATTTATCTCATTTTGGTCTTCAATATTTTAATTGCATCATTTAAGCCTATGAAATATTGAATATACTTCTATATGATCATTCAAATAGATAGTATTCAAGTTACTAACGATTTTTTATCATAAATTTGTCAAGCAATACCTAAATATAAAAAAAAATATAATTTGGGTAAGTTTTGCCTAAATTTTTACCCAAATTTTGATTAAAGAGCTATTCAAATTACATAGTTTTTATAATAAACTATCCAAATTTTAATTAAGAGTTGCCCAATTTTATTTTTTTTTCCTATATTTATATATCACGTGATATGTTTATAATAAAAAACTGTTAGTAATCTGGATGTTATCTACTTGAGAGACTAAATATAAATTATTCAATACTTTAGGAATAAAAATGATGCAATTGAAATATTAGGGACAAAAATAAGACAAATTATATACTTTAGGACCTCCGATACAATTAACCCTATAAATCAATTTTATATCTTGATCCCTATATTATAATTAGTACTAGTTAATTCTCCCTACTTTTTAAAATTATATTTTTACTTCGATA